GGAAGGACAGCTTAGGACTAGAACATCAGAAGTGTGTGTCAGCAACCTGCCTCCCTGCCCAAACAGACAGCAGACCACCTCTGAGGTTCATATTAACCCTCAGACATCATCTCTGCAGATTAGTTGAATACCTACCTGGCCAACCCCAGCAGGTAGCTACCTCTTCTCAGAGAACCTAGTGGTGTCTTCCACTCACATCCTGTCCACAATCCATCCCCTGAGCACTTGCATTCTTGGTAACACTATCTTGAGACAAGGTCTGGTTATATAGCCCAGCTGGACTCAAACTCATGATCCTCCTCCCTCAGACTCCCAAGTGCTGGGGCCATGGGTTTGTCCCATCATCCCCAGCTTGGCCCACTTAGGTTAGTCAACTGTGAGCAGGAACGTGCTCTGTAACAAGCTTGAGAGGGTGACATAAATGCTGACTCCTGGCATTGACTGTAGAATCGAACTTCAGGCTGAGGACTGAGTGTATACCTGCTAACCAGGACTAGTTCAATTGTTGGTGAATGACAGACACTCCGGAAGCTGAGTTAGCACCTCCACTACACACAAGGGCTCTGCTTGGGCATAGTTGCTCAGATCCTGGCATTCCTTACAAAGACAAACCTCAAGTGAGCAGAGTCACAATAAAGCCTGTTCTGTAAAAGGGAAGAGAGAATAGGTATTTGTTGAACAGTGATGAAATGAGCTGGGGATGTGAAGCTCAGCAGTAGAGCACTTGTCTAGCAGTTAGGAAGCCCTGAGTTTGATTCCCAGCACTGAAAAAATCACCACTACCACAAAAGGGGAGAGAAGATACTAAATAACTGGGGGTACGGGGCAGGGTTGGGGTGGCTCAGTCCTACAGGGCTTGCCTTATAAGCATGAAGGAGCTGAGTTTGAACCCAGAACCTATGTGAAAAATCTAGTGTTACAGTACACGCTTGTAATCTCAGCATCGAGGATGTGGAGCTGAGAGGATTCCTGGGACTTATTTGCCAGCTATCTGAGCATTCTTGGGGAGTTCTGAGCCAGTGAGAGCCACACTCCAAAGGAAAAACACCCAAGGTTGACCATTGACCTCTGGTCTACCCTTCCCCTCCTCTCCCCCCCTCCCGCCCGCTCCACCATCCACATCCGCACACGAATAAATAAATAATGAATGAATCATACTATCTCACCAGCTTCATCTTAAGCCTACCACTGCTAATTCCCTACTCAACCATCCTGAAGCCATCAGGGAACATCTTGAGTTGGGAACCTTTGCATAGCAGACTGCCTAGCAGCCTATCTCCCTCCCTGGTCCTTTACTTTCTCAGGAAAGCCTGAAATGGCTGCCCTCCTGATGCCTGCACACCATGCCCAGCCCTGCCCTCTGTGACTGCCCTGACTGTAGAAGTTTAGCTGTGAGCACTCTGAAAGGGTCTCACTAGCTTGCTCTCTGCTTGTTTCCCTTTACTGTGTCCTCCTTCTGTCTTCTCAGCCCACTTAGTTCCTTCCTGGACATCCACCAATCCCATCAGTCTCGAATGGCGAATGGGTGGCTCCTGGGAACTTCAGAGGGGACCAGCACCCTGGAATGTCTCTAGCCTGTATCAGGTCTAAGCAAGTTGGAAAGCCAGCGAAGCTCTAAACAAAGACAGGTGAGTGCCTTAGATCAGCCTGCACTGGAGTGAGGGGACTCTGCCCTGCACAGCTCTGCCGACAGAATGAATCAAAGCCTCCAGGTCTCTGTTCTAGAGGATATAGGATCTGTCAAGGCCATGGACAAAAAAAGCCAAGGATCTTGGGAGAAAGAGAGGATCTTTCTTGTGAGTGATGACTCATCCATGCCTGGAAAAGTCTAGGGAAATGGATCTCAACTTTCCCAATGTAGTTCCTTATATTGTGGTGACCCCCAATAATAAAATTATTTTTCTGCTACTTCATAACTGTAATTTTGCTACTGTTATGAATCATGATGTAAATATCTGATATGAGACTCCTGTGAAAGGGTAGTTGGACACCTCCAGTGGTCTTGGCCCACAGACTGAAAACTACTGGTCTAGAAAGACCCCTAGCTGTGCTCAGAGCCATGAATAGTTATTTGGCTTCACTCAGACCTAACAGTCAAAGTAGAAACTGTGAGTGTTGCAGTCTTCAAAAATTCATAGAACATTCCAGAAAAAGTCTTAAATATCTTATGGGGTAAAGGGAAGAGAAACGGTTAGCATCTGGTGGGAAGCCTAGAGCTCTTCATGGTATTTTGAGGCATTGGGAGATGTGTAGACAATCAGGGTAGGTTCCTAGGACACAACAGGTCCCCAATTGATCTTCAGGTCAGAGATAAACTCTGCCCCGTTACTAAGTCAGAGTCTTACTGCACACCTATAACTAAGACAGCAAAGCAAAGACACAGACCAGGCAAAATTTGTGAGAAGTTGGACCCAAGGATGAACATGGAACCAATTTGTAGCCAAGGCTGGCTGGCTCCAGTCCTGGGGACCAGGGACGCCTGATGTCACTGGACCCCACACTACACTCTGCCTTCAGCTCTGTCATCTCTGACTTACCATTTCTCTCCATTCTGATACAGTGATCTGGTTCTATGCAGAATGAGTGGCACTACCTGAGGCTCTTTGCTGGAGGCCACATGGCAGGATTCTGGGCTAGAACAGGTGACCTCTGTCCAAATCCCAGATGCCATACTACGATTTATTAAAGCTTGCCTGGGGGTACAGAAAGCAAAACTAGCCACAAGCCACAGAGTCAGGCACACCTTTAATCCCAGGACTCAAGAGACAAGCAGATGGATCGCTGTTAGTTCAAGGCCACACTGAGCTACATGGAACTGATCCAGTCTAAAAGAGAAACAGCTCACACAAAGGTGATCTCAGCACTTGGGATCACATGCCTTTAATTCCAGGATTTGAGAGGTACAAAAGGAAGAAGCAAAGTCAGTCTTAAAGATTTTCTCTCTAGCCACACTGAGGAGAGGACAGCCCTTTCAGCCCGAGGTAGAGGTAAGAACTAGCGGTTAGCTGCTTTGCTGCTCTGATCTTCAGCTTGAAGCTTGAACCACAGTATCTGCCTCTGTTTTTATTAAGTCATGTTACACATGATGGCTTTGTTAAATAACACCAGAGTGTGCCCTCCAATACTACAGGCCATGTCCCCAGGGCCCTGGCATAAGCTCCCTTTGGCTTCCAGTGGCTGAGCGCCGAACAAACCCACCTCCTGGTTGCCAGTGGTACAAGATCAGGCAGGGCTCCTCCCCAGAGGGTGGGTTTCATCTGCCTCTGGTCAGGCACAGGCAAGATTTAATAAATGGCTCTAACAACTCTGCCTTGTATGTAGCCTTTTGCAACTGTGAGGCCATCTAATTTCAGAAACCACAGCCCCAGAGCATCCCTGCTGTGTCTCGGGTTTTTGCCACCATGCTTAAACGGAAAACTTACTCAAACACTTCATGAATTAGTTCAGCCGATATTTACTAAGTGCCTTCCCCAGGCCAGGTATAGGGTAAGGGACAGGAATGACCTGCTGGGAATAAGACAAATGGCTCTACTTCACAAGCTTTTATTTAAGATGTTGGGGGTGGGAGTCAATAAGTCAAGCCCCTGCCTTGCAAGAGTGAGAAGCTGAATTCAATCCCCCAAACCCATGCAAAAAAATACAAGGTGGTCCCAGTTCTAGGAAGGCTTCAATGGTGGACCTGTGAGGCTCATTGAGCAGCCAGGCTGACCTAATCAGTGAGCTCCAGGCCAACCAGAGATCCTGTCTCAAAGTGGGTAGAAAGCATTTCTAAAGTTGACACCTAAGGTTGTCATCTGGTCTCCATACACACATTCACACACATGTACACACACACACACACACACACACACACACACACATGCACACACGGTTTAAGTCTTGGGAGGAGATGAGTGCCATTAGGCAGTGGGTAGGGTTCAGAACCCAATAGAGCCCCTGAGCATGTGAGGAAACCATAGAAACAGAGACTCCCCTCTGCCTTTCCAGCTTCTCTATAGCAGATCATAGAAGCTTTCCCTGGAACAGGTCACAAGCCCCTCCTGTGAGAGGTCTCTCCCCTATACTATACCCAGAGGGATTGGCCCATCTAGTCCCCAAGTTCATTACCATAGGACCCATTGAACCTACTCACCTCAGCAGCTTCTTTGTGACTGGCCATAAGTCACTGAATTTAGAACAAAAACACAAGCTTCCTGTTTCTTTAGGTTCTGAAGGCTCCTAGGTAGCATGAGATCTATGTCATCTCAATCTGCACATCTTTGTCCTGTCCATCTGTCTGCACTCTAGAGTCCTCAGCCATGAGCCAAGGAGGGGGTGGAAAGAATTGCCTCCTGCCCTATGTGAGATGAAGGATCTGAAGGAAGAAGGGTACCACTTAATCTCTGACAAAATGTCACCCAGCATCTCAGTCATGCTTAACAAGTGATGGAACACTTCACGGTCCTGCCTGTGCACCAGTGTATGTGAGTCTCTTATGCTTATGTGGTGTGAACTCTGTTCTCACTGAGATTTGCCCGAGCTGTTCATTCTTCTAGGGCTCCATTCCGTTCGCTGCCTCCGCTTCTTTTTGCTTCTCATTGTTTTTGTTGAATAGACCAGGTCATTGAACAACTTCCTTCCATCTGGATCTTGCTGTCTGCACTGTGCAGAGGTACCATTTGAATTAAGATGTGCCAGGTGGGTAAAACCTTGAATGAAGGGTGAGGGAGAAATTGTGCAGAACCCAAAGGGAAGAGGGTCCTTCAGCCTCTGTGCCTTCCCAGTGCTGTGGCCTCTGAGACCTGTTCTTTTTTCAGAACCCCCACCCTGCTACTTCAAGCATCCTCCACTTCGTCTTTGCTCAACTGAGTGAAACCTCCTTTGTCAACCTGCAGTGAAAGAGTCACCAATAAAAGTTCTTGGCCTCCTGTTGTGATTCTGTCCTGCCTGTCTGTTCTGAGGATCAGTAAGCAGTTTCCTCTGTCTGACTTCTTTCACACCGAAATGTGCATCTCCACATCATGGAAGACTCAATGGGCATGAGTCCTCTTGGGCCTCAGAACTACCTTTTTGGTCATGGACTGAAAGTTGATATAGATTATTACTTTAAGGTAGATAATGGTGAGAATGAACACCAGTTATCACTAAGAACGGTTAGTTTAGGGGCAAAAGATGAATTATGCATTGTAGAGGCAGAAGCAATGAACTATGAAGGCAATACAATTAAAGTAACACTGGCAACTTTGAAAATGTCTGTACAACCAACAGTTTCCCTTGGGGGCTTTGAAATTACACCACCTGTGGTCTTATGGCCAAGGTGTGGTTCAGGGCCTATGCACATTAGTAGACAGCACCTAGTAGCTGTAGAGGAAGATGCAGAGTCAGAAGATGAAGATGAGGAGGATGTAAAAGTCTTAAGTATGACTGGAAAGCCATCTGCTCCTAGAGGTGGTAACAAAATTCCACAGAAAAAAGTAAAAGTTGATGAAGATGAGGAGGAGGATGAAGATGATGATGAAGATGATTTTGATGATGAAGAAACTGAAGAAAAAGTCCCAGTGAAGAAATCTGTACAAGATACCCCAGCCAAAAATGCATAAAAATCAAACCAAAATGGAGAAGACTTAAAACTGTCAACATTGAGATCAAAAGCTCAAGAGTCCTTCAAAAAACAGGAGAAACTCCTAAAACCCCAAAGGACCTAGATCTGAAGAAGACTTTAAGGCAAAAGTGCAAGCAAGTATAGAAAAAGGTGGTTCTCTTCCCAAAATGGAAGCCAAGTTCATTAATTATGTGACAAATTGTTTCCTGATGATTGACCAGGAAGCTACTCAAGATCTCTGGCAATGGAGGAAGTCTCTTTAAGAAAATGGTTTAAACAGTTTGAAATAGTCTGTCTTACTTAATTTCTGTAACAGTTGATATATCTGGCTGTCCCTTTTATAATTCAAAGTGAGAACTTTCCTGACTTGGTTTGATAAATGTTGTCCAGATTCCATTGCCAAGAATGTGTTGTCTAAAATGCCTGTTTAGTTTTCAAAGACAGAACTCCACCCTTTACTTGGTTTTAAGTATGTATGGAATGTTATGATAGGACATAGTAATAGTGGTGGTCAGATGTGGAAATGGTAGGGAGACAAAAATATACATGTGAAATTAACTAAGTATTTTAATAAAGAAAAAAGAAGGTTCTTGGCCTGAGAAACAGAAAGCCCAAATCTCTAACAACAGGACAAACCAACTAGGTGTGGTATATTTGTGCAAAGGAACATTACTTAATAGTGAAAAATACATGAGTTATATATTAAATAAAAAAAGCTGGATATGAGTCATACAGGTAAAATTAATCTATAATACTAATAAGACTTTGTCTGGAGGTAAGAGTGACTGGAAAGGGGCATGAGGGAATCTTCTAGAATGATGGATGTGTTTCATAATTTTATCTGTATGCAATAATGTCTTTACTTAACATGATTATACCTTTCTGTAGGTGAATTTTATCTCCACTTCAACTCTAGAGTTATGAGCACAGCCAACATTTTAAGTATGTTTTGGGGAATGAACTCTGATCTTCTTGCTTGTATGACACATACTATACTGAGCTATCTGGCCAGTCAAGGTTTGGATTCTTGCAGTTGTTACTGAAGTGACAGGTCATTTGTTGTGTCTAGATCCACGTTCTGGATTTCCATCCCAGCTCTGCTTGGCTGAGTTCCCATTTGCCTTTGATGTCTTCCCTGGTGACACCCTGACCTAATTCCAAACCTCTCTGCCAGTGTCACTCACCAATCAAATTCACCCAAGAACTAAGATGTGGTGATATTTTGTTTTTGCTATAACAAATAAAGCTTACCTGAAGATCAGAGTGCTAAGCCACTATTTAGACAAAGAGGCCAGGCTAGTGGCCTGGCACTTTAATCCTAGCACTCGGGAAATAGAGGCAGATGGATCTCTGTTAGTTCAAGGGCACCCTGGGCTACACAAGATTGAATCTGTCTAAAAGAGAAACAGTTTACACAAAGATAATCCCAGTACTTGGGAGTCACACACCTTTAATCCCAACACTAGGGAGATGGAGACTGGAGTGATGTGGCTAGGTGGAGAGAGGAATATAAGGTAGGAGGAGACAGGAGCTCAGTGCAGTTAGTCTGAAGCAGCCTGAGGAGGCAGTCTGAGGACAGGATCCCCCTTTGGTCTGAGAATTAGTAGAGGTAAGAACTCTAGTGGCTGGCTGCTCTGATTCTCTAATCCTTCAGCTTTCACCCCTTGATAACTGACTCCGAGTTTTTATTATTAAAACTAGAGAGAATTCATGCCACACTAAGACTTGTTCTTCTTGTTTCAGTACCTTCCATATTGGAAAATGACAAATATAGCAGACTATAGAAAAATGTGCTTTGCAGGCGGATGATCTAATGAATTTACACAAAGTGATTATAAATCCAGGCAGAGGAGCACATGAGTTAGAGCTTAGTAATGTCCCTAAACTGTCACCCCTCACAAAGTCGCCACTACTCTCATGTCTAATGTGGTTGAGTGGGAACAGATATCCATTTCTCTAGGGACCCAGATTTACCAGAGTAGGAATTTCCAGTGGGAGTCACACATGCAGTGTGTGGCTATAATTTGTTCTCGCCATCACGCAGCACAATCCACTTGTTATAGCAAGTGTTTGTTGTTGTCTTTTGTTTCATTTTGTTTTGTTTTGTTTTTTTTTTTTTTTTTTTTTTTTTTTTTTTTACAGCAGTTGGCCTTTCCAGTCTAAGTTGCCTTTGTTCTGAATAACACTAGTCTGGGGCTCAGCTTGAAGTTGAGCTCTGAGAGGCAGCCAGTGCTGTGGGGCTCAGCTCCTTGGAGTTAGAGCCAGAGTTGCCTCTTTCAGAAGCCCTGCTCCCTGACTCCACAGATGGGCTTCTTCCGTGCTAGGGGCAGTGGCTTCTTTACCTGACTGGTCACAGTCAGTGCTAGCAAAGTGTTCCAGTGCCACTGGTTCCCTGGGGCTCTGTGGATACTGACAGTCCCTGTTGTCACAGTCAGTACCCCACAGGTAGCTGCATAGAGCTTGTCCCAATGCATTCTGACTAGAGGGTTTTCTCCCAGGGGGAAGTCTTGTCTCCCATTGCCTCATAGAACTTTCTCTGTGCTGACCTAGGCCAGCCCCACAGCTTCTCCACCAGCCCCATAGATTATCTTCCAGCCCCACAGATTCTCTGCCAGTTCCACAGCTTCTTCACCAGCCCACAGCTTCTCCACCAGCTGCACAGCTCCTCCACCAGCCCCACAGATTCTCTGCCAGCCCCACAGCTTCTCCACCAGCCCCACAGCTTCTCCACCAGCCCCACAGATTCTCTGCCAGCTGCACAGCTTCTCCACCAGCTGCACAGCTCCTCCACCAGCCCCACAGATTCTCTGTCAGCCCCACAGCTTCTCCACCAGCTGCACAGCTTCTCCACCAGCCCCACAGATTCTCTGCCAGCCCCACAGCTTCTCCACCAGCTCCACAGATTCTGTCAGCCCCACAGCTTCTCCACCAGCTGCACAGCTTCTCCACCAGCTGCACAGCTTCTCCACCAGCTCCACAGATTCTCTGCCAGCCCCCACAGCTTCTCCATGTGAGGCTTGCGGGCACTGGTCATACCTTGCAACTGCAGTGAAAAAGTGAGGCTTATCTTGGAATGGCTCTGTTTTATGCCTAACAATCATTCCCCCCCTCCCCCAGCCTTCCAAACCCCACTGACTCGGAGCATCTCTTGACAGAAGCAAACACAAGTTCATATTCACCTCCAGCTTCTTCCTGGTACTCCTATGAACTACCCTTCCAGGGACTGGCCAGCAACCAATTGGAGAGCAGGGACAAGGCTCTGCTCCTTACAGAGATAGCTGGTCCTCAAAGCAGCACAGATGCCCTGCGGCCCATGAGTTCTTCATGTCCTTACTGTTGTAACACACTGGCCTGGATTCCAGGTGCCAGCACCGTCTCTGTTTGCCTCTTTACCTGTGGGCTTCTTCTAACCACTGAATCCACACACATGGCAGGTATAAATGAACCACAAGCCCAGCCCTTCTTCCTAGCCTGAGGGTGAATTACAGTAGGCATGGTGTCAAACCTTCAGGAACCCCAGTGGGCATCCCAGAGATGTCATACTCAATGGCACACTGCTAGAGGCAGCCTTTCCTTCCTCATCTCCCATTCTGGTTCTCCCTGAGTGTCTAACTCCACACAGAAGCATCGTCAACAGCCTAGGTCCCCAGGCTTACTTCTAAGGAAACTGCATTAAGATACCCCAAGATGATCTTTCCATCTTCGAAGCTGAGCTTCAGAAAGAGAAAGTCCCCTCTGTTTCCCTGTGAAGACAGAATGAAGTTAGATGTGGGTGCACAAACCAGTAATCCCAGCATATGGCAGGCTGACAAAGGAAGATTGAGAGTTCAAGACCAACCTGGACTACAGAGTGTGTCCAAGACCAGCCTGGACAGCAAAGGTAGTCAGAGCCAGCCAAAATAAATAGCAAAAAAAAATTATTTCGATAAAAGGAGGTTGGTGAGGATGACAAGAGGAGGAGGAGAAATATAAAAATAAAAAGAGAGGAAGAGGAGAGGGAGTCACACTTCAGCAAAGCCTGTGTGCTCTCTTCCCTAATGAGGGTATGGCCGCAGTTCTGGAACCTCAGGGAGGCTCCAGCACATCCCACAGACACACCCACATCCTCCCTGTCTTATAAATTGTTGTCAGCTAATCTGGAACAAGGAGGAAAGCCTGTGAGCTGCTTAACTTGCATGGGCTAGCCTCAATATGCACCTAGATCCCTGTCTCTATGCATCCTGCTCCCCACCCCCACCCCCAGCATTCCTCCCAGGAGTTAAAACTTTCTAGCCCCTCCCCATCCTGGGTAGCTCAGGAACAGAGTGCCTCTGGGCACACCCAGCAAGGCACACAAATCATTGCACTAACAGCCTCCCTGAGGATTTCAGAGACAAGCTCCCATTGTGTGTGGTGTATGCCAGAAATGTCCATCATACTCCCCAGGATCCTTCCTGTTGTCTAGCAGGAGCGACAGGGACTCTTAAATAGGGGTTTCAAGTTAGAGTCTGACTCTGTGAGGTACTCAAGAGACAGTGATCCTTCCAGGTTTGGCCCGTGTCCAGTGGGATCTGCAGGCAGGGGAAGAAGCAGGGCTGAACTGGCTGGGATCCCACGCTGTGGTTCAAATCGCTGGCAAAATAGTATGTGTGCTTTCTCAACTGTGCTGCCCTTTGGAAACACCCCCAAATGCTCTCTGACCCCATACTACAAGAACTCCCTGCCACCAAGACTCTCAAAGCTGGATGCAGTGGCACACACTTTTAATCCCAGCACTTAGGCAAAAGCAGGTGGATCTCTGTGAGCTCAAAGACCATGTCATCTGCATGTTGACTTCCATGTTAGCTGGGAATACAGAGAAAAACTTTGTTTTTAAAAACAAAACAAAAACAAACAAACAAACAAAAAAACCTGGAGGACTTGTCCCTCCCCCCTTCTGTGAGGGACTTTATATAAATCTCTTATAATACACCTTGTATCCTAGATCTTCTGTTGGTGTGAATTATAGACTGGTGATCCTTTGCTCTATGTCTAAAATCCATATATGAGCGAGTACATACCATGTTTCTCTTTTTGTGACTGGGTTACCTCATTCAGGATGGTTTTT